CGCGCAGCAGACGCGCGGCGGGAAGAAAAAATTTCGCCGCGCGCTCCGCGCGTGGCAGGAAGAAAGGGTAGCGCGCTTGGGGCGCGCGACAGCAGTAGAGCAGCGGAAGCTTTAGGTGGTGGGCCCACCCACAGGATCGACCCAAGGGGATCGACCTGCTCTGATAGCATGTCAGAAACTAGCAGTAGAAAGTAAGAATGAAGAAAGGAGGGGTTTCACTAGCAAGCAGCTGAGTACATATAGGAAACCCTAGATTGGGCTGTACTCGCTATAGAGTACCCCACTGCAGGCTAGACAAATACAACATTCTGACAAGGCGGACTTGGAGATTTTGCTCCTAGGAACTCGTGCGCAGTAGGCGCGTGAGCATCCCCCTCGTGCTGAAGCGGCGCGTCAAAGGTGCTGAACCCTCTCCCCAACCCGTGCACAACAAAGGTGACGGCGACAATGTTGTCGGTGGTGGAAGCACGAGGGTTTGCGTAGTGATCCGGGCCACCGACGTCGGTGTTGGCGGAGTGCATGCGCAAGTGTTGCGGTCGACGGCGGCTGCAGGAAGCTCGAACGGCAACATCGATGGCATTCTCCTCAGCGGAGTGGACTTAGGCCGACTTCAGCGACTCACATGTTGGCTGGTCGAGACGGAGGCATCGCGCCGGCGTACGGCTATTTTACTTTTTTCGACGGACAAGATCGCTGTGCCGAAGCCGCTCGAAGGTCGACACGACTTGATCACGTGGACGGAGTCCATTGAACCGGAGCAGATCGCCGGATTGAAGAAGTTCGTCAACAAAGATGTGTTGGCGCCGGACGAGGAGGAAGTCGAGCTCTGGTCGAAATTTCGCGCTGCCCACATTCTGACCTTTATGGTCATTTCGAGGTGCTGCCCGCCGCTTGTGCAAGTCGCAGTGAAGCCGTGCAGACTTCACGTGGATGCTGGCTACCAAGCGTGACAGTACATCATGCGCACTTACAAGGCGACTGACGACCTCTACATCGGCCAACAGGAGCAGAGGTTGACGAACATCAAGATGGCCAAGTAAGAGTCGGCGACCGAGTACTGCAACCGTCCTCGGCGATTTTTGGCCGAATTGCGGATGGCTGGCGTTGCCTACTCTACAGCGTCTTACATCACGCACGCCATCAAGGGTCTGCCGACGGGCTACAATCTGATGCGCCAGATGCTGGCGATGCCTGGCGGGCGTAAGTCGCTCAACGAAGACACGCTGTCGAGCCAGATTATCAATGACGAGTTCATGCAGGAGTCCAAGAGGCCCGCAGAACTGCTTCCGCAGGCCAACTATGTCGCCCCACCAACGAAGGGACACCAACGGGGGCAGCGTGGGAAATTTGGCGGAGGCGGTGGCGGGAAGTCGTCGAAGACGAAGTCGACAGAGGGCGCCGACCGCGAGAAGTCGAGGAAAGGAGGAGATCACGACAGCAGTGGCTCGCGTCAAGAAGGACGTCGTTGCTACATCTGCGATGCTCCTGACCACCTCTCATACGACTGCCCCGGCCGAGATGAGTTTGACGATGACCGGGATGCCAACCGCAGAAAGTCAGTCGGTGGCCGTCGTCGTCGAGTCAACCAGGCGCGCAAAGAGAAGCAGGAGTCAAAGACTTCTTCGCCGAAGGACACCGACTCTTCCAGCGGCAATGCACGTGGCGAGAAGGAGGCTTCATGCTTGATGGTCGGCGTGGTGGAGCCGACGATCTCGCTGGCACTGGAGGCTGACAAGGACTTCAAGGCCGTCGCCGCCTCTATGCAGGCGAACCTAACGGTGGTGCTTCTCGACAGCGGCTGCTCCCATCACCTGATGGGATTATGGGAGGCCTTCTCGACACGCAGCCGAGCGGAGACGTGCGTCACGTGCGCGGCTTCAACGGGGCACTTCAGAGCGTCCAAGGCCGTGGCACTGCCGCTTCGCAAGGGGAGGTCGGGAAGCAAGTTCTCGTCCTCGACGTTGCGGGTGTGCATGCGAACCTGCTGTCTGCCGGCCAGCTCCAGGAGAACAGCGTGAAGCTGCAGGACGATGGTGAGGAGATGCTACTGGTGTCCTCTGCCGGCAATGTCCTTGGTCGAGCGCGCTACTTCTCTGCACCGACCTGCGCCCCTGCTCGACGAAGTCAACGACGACTTCGACGGAGGTTGTTGCTCTGCGGACGATCGCTTCGGCGACGAAGTCGACCCCAGACATGTGGCATGCACGGCTCGCACACGTTGGCGTCGACATGATCAAGAGCTCGGCGAAGCATGAGGTTGCCTCCGGTCTGGACATCAAGAAGTCGACCGCAGATGATATGTCGTGTGCCTCCTGCATCGGCGGCAAGCTTGCGCGGCACACCTTCCCCGACCAAGGATCAGACGCCGAGAATGCGCTCGACGTGGTGCACGTCGACCTCTGCGGGCCGTTTCGAATGGCCGCCAATGACGGCAGCCTCTAATTTATTCTGCTGAAGGACAGGAAGACTCGCTACGTGTGGGTGAGGCCGATCGCGAAGAAGAGCGACGTGCTGGTCGTTTTCGACAAATGGTTGAAGGTGGTGGAGCAGCAGACTTCGAAGACGGTGAAGATGCTGCGTTCTGACCGTGGAGGGGAGTTCCTCAGTCGAGTCTTCACCAACCTCGTCGAGAACAAAGGCATCTTCCACAACCTGACGTGCCCCTACACTCCGCAGCAAAACGGGATGGCGGAGCACGAGATGCGCATGGTAGTCGAGGCCGTGCGGACGATGCTTCTGCACATGGGCGTGAAGCACCACTGGTGGCACCTTGCTCTGCGACAGGCTGTTTGGGTGTGCAATTGCCTCGAACGGGCTTCTCTACCTTCGGGGACGACGCCGCATGAGCTGCTGTTCGAGAAGAAGCCGGACTTGACGCAGGTGCGCGTGTGGGGCTGCATGGTGCAGTTCATGGTCCCCGAGCAGCAACGCGGCGGGAAGTTGGCGCCGAAGGCCTGTTGGGGTCTTCACCTCGGACTGTCGCCAGAGAGCAAGGGCTGGGAGGTGCTCGACCTGACTGACAACAAAGTCGTCACAACGGTCGAAGCGATCTTCTACGAGACCCTATCGATGGAGAAATGGAAGGCAGAACACGGACCGGCGTCGACGAAGACGTCCAAAACCCCGTCGACCGATTCCTCTTCGGTGCACCCTCTACTGCTCGTCGCGGACGGCGAGCTTGATGAGGAGGACGCAGATAACTTCCCCGTACCCTCCCCTCCCCCGCCCGTCGTCGACCTTCCTGCGAAGGGATCCCCGTCGGCCACCGGAGATGAGGGGAGATTTGGTGTGTCGCCTGCGGCGCCGACCGGTTGCATCGCCGGTGGCCGACGTGACGCCGAGAAGGTTAGCGGCAGATGACAGGGGAGCCGTCGGCGACGAAGCCGACTTCGGAGAAGCCGTCGGCAGAGGCGCCACCTTTAGAGGAGCCATCAGCAGAGAAACCGATTCTGGGGAAGCGGGCGGTAGAGGAGCTGCCGGCAGGGGAGTAGCTCGGCGACGACTCGTCGAGCGATCTTGTGGAAGTTGCCGGCGAAGCTGCCGATAGGGGAGCAGTCTGACGATAGCGACGTGGTGGAGGTCTTGATCGGCGAGGCATAATCGCGACGTTCTTCCCGCTCCAACATCGGCAAGCCGCCGGAGAAGCTGAGCTACCACGCTTGTCTGCCACCGACCTCCTACACCACTCTCCTTGACGACGCAGAGGCCGACGTCGATCTGCCCGAGCTCGACCCCGACATGCACGCCGACCCAGAGCATCGCTAGGACATCGCCAACATGACGGTGAAGGACGCATTGGCGAGATGGAAGGGCAAGGCGGTCAAGGCCGCCATGGACGAGGAGATCAAGAGTCTCATCGCCAACGGGACGTGGGAGCTGGTCGAGCGTCCACGCGGTGTCAACATCATGAAAAACCGTTGGGTGCTCACGACGAAGTACCACTTCGACGACACGGTCGCTCGCGAGAAGGCCCGCCTGGTCGTGAAAGGATTCACGGAGGTGTATGGCGCATACTACGACAAGACGTACGCGACGGTGGGGAGCTACGTGACAGTGCGGATCTTCCTCAGCATCGTAGCAGTCCTCGACCTGCACCTGATGCAGCTCGACATGAACAATGTGTTTCTGCAGAGCAAGCTGGATCGCGTCCTGTACATGTACCAGCCTGACTACTACAACGATGGATCCGTCCGCGTCTACAAGCTGCTGAAAAGCCACTACGGGCTGAAGTAGTCGCCGCTGCTGTGGTACAAGGCGCTCGATGACGTGCTGACCAGCGCCGGCTGGAAGAAGAGTCAGGTCGATGAGGCGTTGTTCTTCAAGGTCGGCAACGACGGAGTGGCGTGCTGGGTGCTCGTCTACGTCGACGACCTGCTCGCCGCAAGCAGCAGCACTTCGATGCTGAAGGAGCTGCTGGAGGCCGCCTTTGAGCTGCTCGAAATCAAGCTGGTTGAGAAGTATCTCGGGTTGGAGATCGTGCGCGACAGGCCGGCGAGGAAGTTGTGGCTTCACCAGCAAGTCTTCGTCGACAAGCTGCGCAGACGTTTCATCGACGAGGAGCTGACCGGGCGAGTGCCGAAGACACCGATCTCCGTCGAGGAGTTCCAGTCGCGCGAGGAAGCAGAGTACCGGCAGAAGGTCAGCTCGCTGCAATTCGCGGCCACCACAACGAGGCACGACATTGCCTTCGCTTGCAGTAAGCTCGGATCTTGCCTGACAGTGCAGAGCGATAACCACTGGCGCGAGGCCGATTGTTGTCTGCTCTACCTTGCTGAAACCCGTCACGCTGCTCTGGAGTTTGGCGGCGGACCAGAGTCGCTGTGTCTGGTCGGCTATGCAGAGATCCCGCCAGCAGAGATCCCGCCAGCAGAGATCCCGCCAGCAGAGACCCCGCCAGCAGAGACCACGCCAGCAGAGACCCCGCCAGCAGAGACCCCGCCAGCAAAGACCCCCGCCAGCAGAGACCCCGCCAGCAAAGACCCCCGCCAGCAAAGATCCCGTCAGCAGAAACCCCGCAAGCAGAGACCCCGCCAACTGAGACCCCGCCAGCAAAGACCCCCGCCAGCAGAGACCCCGCCAGCAGAGACCCCCGCCAGCAGAGACTTCGCCAGCAGAGACCCCGCCAGCAGAGACCCCGCCAGCAGAGACCCCGCCAGCAGAGACCCCCGCCAGCAGAGACCCCGCCAGCAGCGACCCCCGCCAGCAGCTACACCGCCAGCAGAGACCCCGCCAGCAGCTACAGCCGCCTCCTCCTCCTCTCGCTCACTCCCGCGTGTGTCTTTGAGTGGGGGAGGCTGAGCGGGTGGCGGCAGGAATTCTGCAGGGACTACCGTGCCGTGGGTGGGGCAGGGGTGTGGAGGAAGGAAGGGGGGGAGGGGGTGCGTTCCCAGGGGGCGGCTATTATGGGGGGTGAGGTTAAGGGGGGGTGGTTGAATGGGTGTAGGGACTTCGGGGTTAGTAAGAGGGGTTTCGCCGCGCTTGGCTCCCCCCACCTCCTCTCCTCATCACTCTCTCACCTCCCCCTTTGTAAAAGGGGGCTAGTAAGAGGGTTTCGCCACGGGTGGCTCCCCCTCAACTCCTCGCCTCATCCCTCTCTCACCTCCTCCTTCGTACTTCTCTCCCTTCCTCTCCTCTCTCTCTCTCTCTCTCTCTCTCTCTCTCTCTCTCTCTCTCTCTCTCTCTCTCTCTCTCTCTCTCGCCTCCTCCTCCTCACTTACCCCTCTGACGTCTTCTGCTGCGCCAGGTGTACCCCTTCAAGGGGTGTTCTACACAGGTTTCTCCTGCAGGCAGTTACGGGGGTGTGTATAATTATAATGTTCTGTTATATAACTGCATGTAGGATTTACTGTAGCGTAGTTCTTATTGTTTGGTGGTGCACCTTTGTTCATTTTGCTATATGTACCTTGTGTGCTATAGTGGAACCAACTCATTCTCGATATTCTCCTTTGCACAAACCTATCGACTCCCGCTTGGCCTAGGCTACTAAGCCTAGGCCTATTAGTTAAACCCGTTGCCTAGATTCTATCCGTATCGTAACAGTATTCTATCCCTCTGGGTTCTGGGTGGACCTTCTACTTGGTCGCCCAAGCGTGAGCTGGACAAAGGAGTGTCAAAAAGATAGGCCCCGCCCTTGCTTGGGCATGTCAGAGGTCCACTGGTGGTCCCCAATTGATCCTAGGGAAGGGTTACAGGCACGTTGGCATGGGGGGTTATGGGCGCACTCACCCGCTACACAAACAAGCCATTTTATCCCAGTGGTTAGTGGCTGGGATTCTGACATGGTATCAGAGCAAAGGTCTCGGGTTCGAATCCCGGTGTGTGCACCGCTTGCATCCCAGTGCGGGAGGGTGTCAGAGGTCCACTGGTGATCCCCGATTGATCCTAGGGAAGGGTTACAGGCACGTTGGCCTGGTGGGTTATGGGCGCACTCACCCGCTACACAAACAAGCCCTTTTATCCCAGTGGTTAGCGGTTGGGATTCTGACAAGGCGCAGCCGATCTAGCCGACCGAAGTTGCAGAGTTGTGCGAAACTCTGCGGAGGCGTGCGAACTTTTGCCCAGGAGGTTTTGGCGAAGTTCTACCTGCGGAACGGCGTGGTTGACGGTGCGCACCTGGCGAAACCGACGACACGTTTTCTACCTGGCACCTGCGCAATGTGCCTGACGGTGAAACCGTCAACCTGCACCTACTTGGTAGGTGCGCACATTTGCGCAGATAGACAAACTACGACAGTAGATAGTTACCTGCGACTGCAGATAGTCACATGCGACTGCAGTGCTGGCAGATCGCGCGCAGTGCAACGCTGGCAGACTACTATGCTGCAGCGTTGGCAAGCCGCTCTTCTGCTCCCCTGGCAGATTTCGCCCTGAAGAGTGCTTGCTAGGTGTTGCGTGTCATTCTAGTCATATCGATTTGCGTGCCTCGATTGTACTCTAACCTTTCTAGTGTTCAATGTTCTTTCAACTTACTTAGTGAAGCTCTTGCCAAACTTCTCTGCGGTCTTCTCTGCGGTCTTCTTCGACGTCGACGGCTCCTCTGTCGTCTGCCGCTTCCCGTCGCTGACCTTCTCGGCGCCATGTTGGCCACCGGCGACAGCGCCTGCAGGCGACGCACCAAGTCTCCCCTCATCGCCGGCGGCCGACGAGGGCACAACAGTAGGAGGGAGCGGGACTTCCTCTACGTCCTCGTCAGCATGTACGTCGACGTCGGCGAGCAGAGAAGGCATCGCCGAGGAGGAATCCGGCGGCGGGGCAGACAGCGTCCTCGTCGACGCCGGCCTGTACTCTGCCTTCCACTTCTCCGTCGACAGGTTCTCGTAGAAGATTGCTTCAACCGTCGTGACGACTTTGTTGGTAGTCAGGTCGAGCTGTCACAGTTAGTAGGCAGAAAGTAGAAACAAGAAAGAGGGGTTGCACTAGCAGGCAGTTGAGTACATATAGGAAACCCTAAATTGGGCTTTACTCGCTATAGAGTACCCCACTGCAGGCTAGACAATTATCACATTCTAACACGAGCACCTCTCAGCCCTTGCTCTCTGGTGACACGCCGAGGTGAAGACCCCAACGAGCTTTCGGCGCTAGCTTCCCGCCGCGCTGCTGCTCGGGGACCATGAACTGCACCATGTAGCCCCACACGCGTGCCAGCATCAAATCCGGCTTCTGCTCGAACAGCAGCTCGTGCGGCATCATCCCCTTTGGCAGAGAAGCACGCTCGAGGCAGTTGCGCACCCAGACGGCCTGTCTCAGAGCGAGGTGCCACCAGTGATGCTTCACGCCCATGTGCAGAAGCATCGTATGCACGGCCTCGACCACCGTACGCATCTCCCGCATAGCCATCCCGTTCTGCAGCGGAGTCTAGGGGCACGTCAGGTTGTGGAGGATTCCCTTGTCCTCGACGAGGTTGGTGAAGGCGCGACCGAGGAACTCCCCTCCGCGGTCCGAACACAACTTCTTCACCGTCTTCGACGTCTGCCGTTCCACCTCCTTCAGCCACATGTCGAAGACGACCAGCACGTCGCTCTTCTTCGCGATCGGCCTCACCCACACGTAACGAGTCTTCCTGTCGTTCAGCAGAAGAAAGTAGAGGCTGCCATCGTTGGCGGCCACTCGGAACGGTCCGCAGAGATCGATGTGCACCACATCGAGCTCGTTCTCTACATCTGCACCTTTTCCGGGGAAGGTGTGCCGCGCAAGCTTGCCGTCGACGCAGGAGGCACACGACAGATCATATGCAGTCGACTTCTTGATGTCCAGACCGCAGCGACTTCATGCTTCGCCGAGCTCTTGATCGTGTCGATGCCGACGTGTGCAACGCGAGCGTGCCACTTGCCCGGGGTAGACTTCGTCGCCGACGCGATCGTCCGCAGAGCCACCACCTCCGTCGAAGTCGTCGTCAGCTTCGTCGAGCAGGGACGCAGGTCCGAGCAGAGAACTCTGCCAGAGTAGCTTGCGTGACCAAGGACATCGCCGGCACCAGCAGCATCTCTGCGCCGTCATCCTGCAGCTTCACGCCGTTCTCCTTGAGCTGGCCTGCAGACACCAAGTTCTCCTGGACGCCTGGAACGTAGAGCACGTCAGGAACGAGAATATGCTTCCCAGTCTACCCTTGCAGAGCGACGGTGCCACGGCCTTCGACGTTTTGCAGTGCCCCGTTGAAGCCACGCACATGCTTGACATCGCCGCGAGGCTTCATCTCGACAAACGCCTCCTTTCTCCCCATCAGATGGTGGGAACAGCCGCTATCGAGCAGCACCACGGTTGGGTTCGCCTGGACAGCGGCGGCGATAGCCTTGAAATCTCGCCAGCCTCGAGCACCAACGAGATCATCGGCTCCACCACGCCAACCATCGAGCACGAAGCCTCCTCGCCACGAGCGTTGCCACCAGAGGAGTTAGCATCCTTCGTCGAAGACGTCTTCGACTCTTGCTTCTCCTTGCGCGACTGGTTGTCTCGGCGACGACGGCCACCATCAGACTTTCTGCGGTTGGCGTCCCGGTCGTCGTCAGACTCGTCTCGGTCGGGGCAGTCGTACGAGAGATGGTCGGGAGCATCGCAGATGTAGCAACGGCGTCCTTCTCGACACGAGCCACCGCCACCGCGATCTCCACCCTTTGCCGATTTACCGCAATCGGCGCCCTCCGTCAATTTTGCGTTCGACGACTTCACACCACCACCTTCGGCAGACTTCCCACGCTGCCCCTGTTGGCGTCCCTGCTTCGCTGGGGCGACATAGTTGGCATGCGGAAGCAGTTCTGCGGGCCTTCCGGACTCCTGCATAAACTCGTCGTTGATTATCTGGCTCGACAGCGTGTCCTCATTGAGCGTCTCATGCGTGCCAGGCATCGCCAGCATCCGGCCCATCAAATTGTAGCCCATCGGCAGGCCCTTGAGGATATGCGTAACGTAGGACGCGGTAGAGTAGTCGACGCTGGCCATCCGCAGTTCGGCCAAAATTCGCCGAGCACGGTTGCAGTACTCGGTCGCCGACTCCTGCTCGGCCATCTTGATGTTCGTCAACCTCTGCTCCAGTTGTCCGATGTAGAGGTCGTCGGTCGCCTTGTAAGTGCGCATGATGTACTGCCACGCTTAATAGCTAGCATCCACCCGAAGTCTGCACGGCTTCAATGCGACTTGCACCAGAAGCGAGCAGCACCTCGAAATGACCATAAAAGTCAAAAGGTGAGCAACGCAAAATTCCGACCAGAGCTCGACCTCCTCCTCGTCCGGCGCCAACACCTCTCCGTCGACGAACTTCTTCAATCCGGCGATCTTCAGCTGCGGTTCGAGAGACTCTGTCCACGTGATCAAGTCGTGTCGACCTTCGAGTGGCTTCGGCACAGCGATCTTGTCCGGCAGAATCTTAAAGTAGCCACACAACGGCGCCATCCCTCCGTCTCGACCAGCCGACGCATGAATCGCCGAAGTCGGCCCGACTCCACTCCGCTCATGAGAACGTCGTCGTCCGTCGCTGTTGCCGTTTGAGCTTCCTGCTGCCGCCGAACTCTGAACTCGCGCCTGCACTCCGCCGATACCGCCATCGGCTGCCCAAATCACTCCACGGATCATCCTCGTGCCTCCTTCGCTGCCGACTCGGTTACCACCGTCGACCTGGTCGTCGACGCCACCTTCGTTATGTGCCGGTCGGGGAGTGGCGGGCAAACCATCCGCCTCAGTACGGGTCGTTGGGTGATCGCGCGCCCACTGCACGCGGGTTCCAAAGCCCACTGCGTGGCATGCCCGAACGTCATCTAACCGCACCTGCAGGGTGTCTTCTACACCTGCAGCGACCTCCTGGTCGACCATGGCGGTCTAGACGGCTGCCGGCCTACAGCAACTTAGGTAATGAACGAAAATGTCGGCTAATCTGAAGGTTCTAACGCGGGGCCGTCCACGCTCACCGTACCATGCGGAGAGTCACTACACAACAGGAGTGTGTCAGAAAGTAGGAATGAAGAATGACTAGAATAACAGCAGTACAGGGTTTGTATCGCAAAAACCTAATTGGGCTGTACCCCATAAGGAGTGCCCCACTACAGCCTAGAGCATATAAATGCATAGTTCTGACACACCCCCATAGGCAAAGTGGGGGACAAGCAAGAGAACGAAGAAAGGTCAAGCTCAGGGTGGATCACAACGTCACAACGCAGTCCGAGCACAAGCAAATGGCCACAAGGCCAGTTCACATGCAGAGTTATATATAAAGAAGAACAAGCAATACAGTGATCACAACCTAGCAAGTGTAAGCATGCAGGTATAAGTATATAGATCACAGTACAAGCAAAGTCTGTTAGAATCTAGCAGCAGGAATGATTGAACTATGAAAGTGTTCGGTACAAATGTGAAACCCTAAAGTGGGCTGTACCCCATATTGGCTACCCCACTACAGCCTAAACATATATAGCAGATATAACACTTGACACACCCCTATAGGCAAAGTGGGGGAGAGAAAGGGGTCACAAGACCAGTCAAGAGAAGCAAAGCAAGCTCAGAGTGGATCACAACGTCACCACACACACTGAGCACAAGCAAAGGGCCACAAGGCCAGTTCACATGCAGAGGTATATATGCAACAACAACAGCACAGTGATCTCTACCTAGCAGAACAAGCATGCAGGTATGTATACATAGATCACAGTACAAGCAAAGTCTACAGCAAGTGAGGCAAAGTGGGCACAAGGCCTAACAAAGTGCAGAAACGCTGATGATCACCAGACGGAAGTGCCTTGGTGAATATATCAGCAGTGTTGGCCCGAGTGGCCACGTGAGCAAGACGAAGCTGACCACGCTGCTGCAACTCTCGAGCCAGGAAGTAACGCAGAGCGATGTGCTTCGTTCTGTGCTCCAGTCTGTGCTCCTAACACAAGGCAATGGCGGCCTTGTTGTCGACGTACAGCACTCGAGGAGAACGAGGCCGCTCTCCCAAGTCGGTCAGCAGGTAGGTGAGCCAGCGTAACTCCTGTGCAGCCATGGCAGTGGCGTAGTGTTACGAGACGAACTTAGCTAGGAACGGGGTTTAATTAAGGGCCTAGGCTTAGAAGCCTAGGCCAAGCGAGTGTCGAGGGAGTTGTGCCAAGGGAGAATCGAGAATGTGTTGAGGTTCACTATAGCACACGAGTACATATAGCAACCTAACAAAGATGGAAGAGGTGCACCACCATACAAGGGAATTACACATCAGCTACACTACAGGCAGATTATACTAAATAGATATAAATCTATTGTGACACACCCCCTATCTGCCTGAAGTGCATAACCATGTGCAGAGCCCCCCTTGAAGGGGTACACCTGTAAAACCCCATTACAGGGCGTGGGAACACCAGCAAGGGGCCCCCTCTGAAGCCGACAAGCAGCAACCACCAAGCTGCATCTGAACCACCGTGGTGGAACAAATGCCCGGCTGCGGTTGAACGCCCCGCAGCTGGTGCACGGTGTGCGAGGAGCACGGGTACGGGTAGCGGGTTCGGGTAGCAACTAGGTGCTGTACGGGACGGGCCGCACGGGGGTGACGGGCAGCACGAGACCGGGCAGCACAGACCGGGTGGGGCACGAGCGAGAACTGACAGCACGGGTGGGGCACCAACGGGTACGGACAGCACGGGTAGGACACAAACGGGCAGAACGGGGCAGCACGGGCAGAACAGGCCAACACGGGCAAAACGGGGCAGGACACGGGCTGAGCGAGGCAACACGAGCAGAACGGGGCAGGACACGGCCTGAACGGGGCAGGACACGGGCTGAACGGGGCAACACGGGCAGAACGGGGCAACACGGGGACAACGGGGCAGCACAGGCAGAACGAGGCAGCACAAGGGCTGAACGGGGCAGCACGGGGGCAGCATGGGAACACGGGGGCAGCACGGGAACACGGGGGCAGCACAGGAGCACGAGGTAGCACGGGCAGAACGGGGCAGCACGGGCACTGACAGCACGGGTGGTACAGGTGGGGCACGCACGGGAACAAACAGCACGGGTAGAGCACGAGCAGAAGCACAGGGAACACGGGCAGACAGCACGGGCACGGGCACGGGGCAAGCACGGGGAAGGACGGGCAATACGGGACAGCACAGGACCACGGGGCAGCACGAGAAGCACAAGAAGCATGAGTAGCACAGGATCACGGGAGCACAGGAGGTGCACGGTCAGTATGGCACGGGAACGGGCAGCAACACGGGCAGGATCACAGGCAGAATCACGGGCAGAATCACGGTCAGGATCACGGGCAGAACACGGGCAAAATACGGGCAACACACGGGTATAATCACGGGCACAATCACGGGCAGCAGTACGGGCAGAATCATGGGCAGAACACGGGCAGGACACGGGCAGAACGGGTGGAACGGGTGGGGCACGACTGGGTACGGACAGCACGGGTGGGGCACAGGAACGACAGGGTAGCAGCACGGGAGACACGGGGCGGGGGGATGACAGGAGGAGGTGTGGTGGCAGTTGCTGCAGCTGGAACATCCACCCACACCCCCTGAACCTCCCCCCCACAGCAGCAACAGCGGCAGAGAGAGATAGGAGGAGGCGTGGCGACAATTGGTGCAGTTTGATCACCCCCTCCATGTCACTCCCCCCCCAACACCTGCAGTCGCGGTAGTGAAGGCGACGGGGAGGGGGGGAAGGGAAGACGGACGGGTGGTAGGTGTTGGCGGCAGTTCTGGCACTTGCGCTGGCGTTCACTGCTGACAGCCGCCCACCACCCCTTTCCCCCACGCCTCCCCCACCCCCCCACATGAGCCGCCAACCCCGCCACTCCCGCAACTCCTGCCATTCCCGCCGCCGCCGCCCCCACTGCCCTCCACACCCACCACCGCCCAACACGGCATAGGCATGCGCGGTAGAGGGGGAAGGCGCGACGAGGGAGGGACGGGGAGGGGCAGGGACAGTGCGGGTACGGGACGAAACGGCAGTTGCTGACGCGGTAGATGCAGCGACGGGTCAGCAGTAGAAGGAGCGAACCCAAGAGCCGCAAGTGTAGTCCTCAGTGTGTCGTGCCACTCACGTGGCGCCTGTCGGAGACCGTAGACTGGCCGCCGGAGGCTCCACTGGGTACCAGGAGGGAACGACCCAGTGAAGCCAGGTGGGCGGCGCAACCAGATCTCCTCGTGCAGGCTGCCCTGTAGGAAAGCAGTGCTGAAGTCAAGAGAGTGGAGCTCGTAGTCACGCTGAGCGGCGACGTGCAGCAGAACCCGAAGAGTGGTCATCTTCGGGGTCGGGGAGAAGGTCTGGAAGAAGTCAACTCCCTCTCGCTGACTGAAGCCTCGTGCAACGTAACGCGCCTTGAAGACAGGCGGAGAACCCGGCGGCCGCTTCACCCTGAAAATCCACATGCCACTGACAATGTTCGCCCCAGGTGGGGGAACCTCGTCGACGTAGGTGCCTGTGGACTTCCAGGAAGCCATCTCTGCGTCCATGGCTGTCTGCCACTGAGAGGAGTAGGGACCCTCTATCGCCTCTGCGTAAGAGCGCGGAGTCGGGATGTCTGGTGCATCCGGGTCTCCCTCAGGGGCAACTAGCATGGACACGAGATGAGGTAAAGCAGCGGCAAAGCACTCAAACTCCTCCTGCCTGTCCTCAAGGACGTCCGTGCCAAGAGCACACTCACCCCCGACGGACGGAGGACAGACAGACTCAGACTCAGCAACTAGGCTAGCGGCGTAGTCTAGACGACAAGCGGCAGCAAAGTCGACAAGCTCAGCAACTAAGGCAGACGCAGCAGTGGACTCAAAGGAAGGGTCAGTGACAACAGTAGCCAGGAGACGCGTGACAGTAGGACTGGTAGCACGAAGGGAGTCAGACTCAGGGTCAGCAAGAGCAGGAAGAGAGGACGCAGGAGGAGACGGGAGAGGGACACGCTGGGGAGCAGTGGAAGGACGAAGCGCCATCTGGTGAGTGCCTGGGACAGCAGGAGGACGCTGACGCGGGACACGACGACCAGTGTGAGCAGCACGTACAGGCGACGCTCGACGAGACTCAGGCGACGCAGGACGAGACTCAGGCTCACGACGCTCCGTAAGACCTCCAGTCGGACCAGTGTAAGGAGAAGGACCAGGGAGAGGGGAGGCAGACGGTAACTGTGACTGCGACTGGACAGACGGAGGACACTCTAAGGAGGGAGGAGGACAAGGAGGAGGAGGCTGACCAAGAACCTGCTGAAGGAGCGGAACGAAGTACGGCCGCGGCCGCGCAGCGTCTCCAGAACCAGCAGAGACACCAGCGCCAGGGTCCTCAGCACCAGCAGCAGCACCACCTCCAGGGTCCTCAGCACCAGCAGCAGCTCCAACTCCAGGGTCCGCAGCACCAGCAGCAGCGCCGACTCCAGGGTCCGCAGCACCAGCAGCAACTCCAACGCCCGGGTCCGCAGCACCAGCAGCAGCTCCAACGCCGGGGTCCTCAGCACCAGCAGCAGCTCCAACTCCAGGGTCCGCAGCACCAGTAGCACCTCCAGAAGAAGCAGTACCTCCAGCAGCTCCAGTAGCCCCAGCACCAACAGCACCTCCAGCAGCTCCAGCAGCACCGCCAGCAGCAGCACCTCCAGCAGCTGTGTCCGCGACACTAGGAGCGCCACTCCGGAGACTGCAGCGCCGTGCGTACCACTCTCGGAGCCGCTGCGGAGTGGGCAGCTCCCGCCTAGGAGGGGAAGCACTAGCACCAGCTCCAGCAGCACTCCTAGCTCCAGAAGCACCTCTCCTGAGGCTGCAGTACTGTAAGTACCACTCATGCAGCTGCTGTGAGGAGAGAGCTCCTCCAGGTGTAGCACTCCCAGGCTCAGCACCTCCAGACTCAGCACCCCCAGACTCAGCACCCGCAGGCTCCGCACCCCCAGGCTCAGCACCCCCAGGCTCCGCACCCCCAGGCTCAGCACCCCCAGACTCCGCAACCCCAGGCTTCGCACCCCCAGGCTCCGTACCCCCAGGCTCCGCACGCTCAGGCTCAGCACCCTCAGGCTCAGCACCCCTAGCAGGACGAGAGTCGACAGCTACCTCGACAGGCTCAACCGGGTCTACCTGGGACACACCTGAGGGAGCGGCACCCTGAGGGGGGAGGGGGTCTACCACAACAGCACCTGGCGCGAGGAAGAGAGGCGGGGGGGGGGGCGGGGCAGTGCGGTAGGGGAAGAGGCGGTAGTAGGGGACGGACTCGTCGAAAGTGACGTCCTGAGAAGGCAAGACACGGCGCGAGGTGGGGTGGTAAAACTGCCAACCAGACGCGTCCGGAACAAAGCCAAGGAAGACACAAGGAAAAGCGCGGGAGGAGAGCTTGTCCGCGGACGTATCGCGAACAAAGGCTCGAGATCCCCAGACCCGAAAGCGTGACGCATCGCCAACCTCTCCCGTCCAACGCAGTGTCGGCGAAGTCTCCGGAACGGAGACACGGGGCCAGAGGTTGAGCTGATGCGCAGCGTATCGGACTGCAAACGGCCACAGAAAGTGGGGGGCAGCCGCATGGATCAAGGAGGTACGAGCGACCTCCATGACCAAGCCAATGCGGCGCTCAGCAACCCCATTCTGCTGTGGAGAGGCCGGAAGCGTGAACGACTGGCGGATGCCGTGCTCCACACAGTAGGCTGCCAAGAGATCGGAGGAGAACTCACCACCTCTGTCAGAGTGCAAGCGCAGGACAGGAAAGTCCGAGTGGAAACGCTCGCTGAGCAGGAGACGAGAAGCGCTGATCCAAGGGATCAAAACATCAGGGACCTCACCCTTGGTGCGCAAGGGGAAGACCGTGGTGTAGCGCGAGTAGTCGTCAACAACTATCAGGAAGTACCTCTCCTGACCCTGACCACGGACGCGGGCTGGGCCCCACACGTCCATGTGGAGCGTCTGCAAGGGAGCAGTCGTCGGGGGAAACGAGGAGGAGTGAGGAGCGGCGCGCTGCCGCCCCTCGACACAGGGAAGACAGGGAGGAGCAGGCGAGGGTGGGAGGGGAGGGAGAACCCTGGGAAGACCAGAGACAAGGTACCGTTTGTGCATGGCACGAAGGCGCTGCACGGACGGGTGACCAAGTCGGTGGTGCCAGAGGACGGTCTCGTGCGCCAGAGAGCGACACGAGCAGGGGGCCGACAGCTGACCTGACGCAGACGCAGACGCAGCTACCTGAGGGGACGCAGTGGTCAGTGTGTACAGGTCCGACCCCGGCTGCCGAGTGAAGGTAGCCAGGTGGCGACCCGTCCGAGCGCACGTGCAGTGTGTCACGCGCTCGTAGGCAGGGGTGAACTGGTGAACACCCGCGTCCTGGAGCGCACTACCCGCCACCAAGTTCGTAGAGAACGAGGGGAGGTAGAGACCTGACAGCGTGCCCAACGGGACCGCAGGACAAGGGAGGACAGTGGAGGAGGTCGCAAGGACCGGACCCCCAGAGGGGTCAGCGAGGGAGACTGCAACCGGCCGAGCAAGCTGCTCAAGGGCCGTGCGGTCACGAAAGAAACAGCGGGAAGCACCGGAGTCCAGTGTGAAGGTGTGCAGTGCCGCAGTAGACGCAGTACCAGCAGGTGCGAACGCACGAGTACCTGGGGCAGCAGACTCACCAGCACCTAGAGCAGCAGCCTCACGAGGACCGAGGGCAGCAGACGCACTAGCACCTAGAGCGGCAGCCACACCAGTACCTAGAGCAGCAGACTGGATACCGGGGTCAGGCGGTACACACAGGGGACAGGCACTCTCAGTACTAGTAGACAATGCATACATGGCAGTGAGGATAGCATCAGAGTCAAGAGCAAAGATATCTACCCTCTGCCTAAGCAGCTCCACCCAGGAGGGGAGCTCAGCGGCGTCACCAAACTCTGTACGCCAAGCGTCGCCCAGACGGGCGAAGCAGTGGGACTCTGTGTGGCCACGGGTCCCGCAAGGCTGACCAGTCCGGACACCTGTGCAAATGACGTACGGGCAGCGAGCAGTACTCAGTGACCCTCTACTCTGAGCGTACCACTCACGGAGCTGCTGGGGCGAAAGAGGACACGGCAGCTGCACCTGTCCACTACCAGACGCTCCCAAACGACCCACTCCAGAGCGACTACCACTACGGCCACCCCGGCAGCCCCAACTGGCGTACCACTCACGAAGCTGCTGGGGCGAAAGAGGACACGGCAGCTGCACCTGTCCACTACCAGAAGCGCCCGAACGACCCACTCCAGAACGACTACCACTATGGCCACCCCGACAGCCCCAACTAGCGTACCACTCACGAAGCTGCTGGGGCGTGAGGGACTCACGCGCACGGCCCTGGAGCTGCATCTGGCCACGCCAGGAGCAGCAGTAGCAGCAGTAGCGACAGTAACAGCAGTAACAGCAGGAGCAGTAGCAGTGGGAGTGGAAAAGGCAGTAGCAGCAGTAGCAGCGGTAGCAGTGC